CACAAATAAAGATTAATCATTGCTGTACCACCATGTTCTGGCCACCTCACAGCCCACAGCCTCACACCTTCAACACCTTTATGCACTGATGATCACTCATCCAAGTAATAACCAGGCTTGGTGCTCCCTTAGTCTCCAAGATCCAACAAGATATCGAGCTCACTGAGGACAATGTAGTCATTTGTTCCTGTCTGTCAGCACAGTTGAATTACGAATGCCTGAATTCTGCTCCAAGGTGGATCTCCATTTCTGGGAGATGGTGGCTATGCACGCACCTGTAGTCCAGCCCTGTGGAGGTGGTGGTTATGCACGTGCCTGGTTATGCACTTGCCTGTGTATTTTTGTACCATCGGACACTCCACCCCCACAACTCCCAATAGGTGATGGGGCAGTTGTGGAGACAGTGGAGAGTTTCCCATACCTGGGCAGTGTGCTTATGACCGGCTCCAGTTTAACAGCAGAGGTCTCACTCCGAATCAGTCGAGCGGCAATATCTTTTCATCGGTTGCGTAACGCTGTGTGGAAGCTACCTGGTCTGTCGCTCCGCACTAAGTTTCAGGTCTTCTCAGCCACAGTCATTCCCTCCCTTCTCTACGCTTGCAAAACGTGGACCCCCCTAATGGAGCATCTTCGCCGGTTAGAAACATTTAGGCTAGCCTGCCTACGATCCATCCTGGGTTTAACCAGGCTGGATTGTGTGAGGAGCTCACAAATCCTTTAAAGATCTGGACAAGGTTCCATCGGTGAGCTTCTCCGGCAGTCAAGGCTGCATTGGCTGGGTCATGTAGCCCGCATGCCCAGCCACCGCATGCCGAAACAGCTTTTGTTCGGCCAGATCGAGGGGGCTAAACGGGCGCGGCACGGGCTAGAGAAGAGATGGAGTGATGTGGTACAGGAGGACGTGGAGCTGAGTGGACTTGCCGATGACCGGTACCAGCGGTGTCAAGATCGGCCTCTGTGGAGGAGGCTCGTGAAGGACGCTACTGGCAGTTAGAGGCAGTCGCCCTCCAACAACAACAGAGGGCGGAGGAGCCATGCTCACAACAACGAGCAGAGCGCCGGGTGGCTAAAGCACAGCAAGTTGACACAGTAGGGGGCACAGGTGGTGCATCCGCCAGTCATGTCAGTCATCTCAGTCAGTCGAACTGTGGCACTTGGGCCTGCCCCGTGACCTCCTGCCAGCGGGCGTTCGACAATTCAAGTGGCCTCAGGGTGCACATGGCCTGGCACAAGCGTCGTGGTGACGTCACCGCCACTTAGTGGCGAATGGCGGTTGTTGTAGTCCAGCACTGTGGAGGTGGTGGCTATGCACGCGGCTGTAGTCCAGCACTGTGGAGATGGTGGCTATGCACGTGCCTGTATTCCAGCCCTGTGGAAATGGTGGCTATGCACGCGCCTGCAGTCCAGCCTTGTGGAGGTGGTGGCTATGCACGTGCCTGTAGTCCAGCCCTGTGGAGGTGGTGGCTATGCACACCTGTAGTCCAGCACTGTGGAGGTGGTGGCTATGCACGTGCCTGTAGTCCAGCACTGTGGAGGTGGTGGCTATGCACGTGCCTGTAGTCCGGCACTGTGGTGGTGGCTATGCACGTGCCTGTAGTCCAGCCCTGTGGAGGTGGTGGCTATGCACACCTGTAGTCCAGCACTGTGGAGGTGGTGGCCATGCAGGTGCCTGTAGTCCAGCACTGTGGTGGTGGCTATGCACACACCTGTAGTCCAGCCCTGAGGAGGTGGCTATGCACGTGCCTGTAGTCCAGCACTGTGGAGGTGGTGACTATGCACACACCTGTAGTCCAGCACTGTGGAGGTGGTGGCTATGCACACACCTGTATTCCAGCACTGTGGATGCGAGGGTTGGTGGAATCACACAAATATCGTGAACCTCCCTTCCCTGGCTCGCCAGGAAATGGCAGTACAGCAAGTGGACTAATCGCCATCTGTTTCCATCTAAATGGGGATGGAATGTTGTCTCCTCGTGTGTGTGGGTTTCTGGCTTCCTCCGGCTTGTATAAACTCAAAATACTGGACCCTGTTGACAAAGAGTCCAACGACTAAGTGTGGCTCACCTGGATTTTTTTATGTGGAATAACAGTAGAGGACCCCCTAGTGACGTAACTGCAGTCATCATTAAAAATGACAGGCGCGAGGCCACTGGAACATCACTGGAGAGCACTTCGTTACGTAAAGTATACGTTTTTTTTCATTGACAGAGCTTCAGACCCGTGTCCGACATGTTAGATATGGCCTTTGCAGGTAACAAGATAAAAGCTATCCGTGTTTTGGGGCCGCATTTTTCTTTATTTGCGGTGCGGAGCGGCGTTCTTCCGCACCGCAGGGGTTAACGGACAGGCAAGCCTACGTGGAGTTAAAAGATGTCTTCATAAGCGCCGCGTGCTTAGCCGAACTGTGCCAAGCCGGCGAGAGGAGGGGGGGGGGCGGTGTGGGGAGAGCTGCCAGGGTACGGCACTTGTAGCACATCCCCTTCCATTTTTCCTCATTAAAGTTTCATCGCGGCTCGACGGTGCGATGATAATGGCCAACCTTGTTTGTCGGGTGCACACAGGGGGCGGAAGGGAGGGGAGGTGATGGGAGGGGAGTCGGGAGTGATTCTAGCGTCTCACAGCCGACCTGGTCGTAACCCTTCACGTGCAGCGCGGTGTCGTTCCAGTGTTGGGAGTCTCTCCCAAGACCTCCTGACCCTCACCGTGCCCAAAGATATTCCCACCCGTAGTGACCAGTCTGCCACTCACCCCCCCCCCCCTCTTAACACAACACCTGCATATGTAGCAGCTTTCCATCCATAGGTTCTTCCCACCAGTACAGAGGCGACTCCTATAACTACAATTACTACTACTACTAAAACTACAATTACTACTACTACTACTATAACCATGAACACAATTACCCATTGGCCTTGTTTAGCATTTGAAGACATTATTTTTTGAAGCTTTATTGTTTTGTCTTCCTATATTGTCGGTTTATATTAAAATGTTTTCATTAGGCTATTGGAGTGAAGAAGACTAACCAAATGAGATAAACTAGTAGGTGAGAATGTGAATTAAACCTGTCAAAATGGGACAAAAATACTATTTATTCTTAAACCAAATTGAGCCGAATCATTGCTTCACCACAGAGGGAGGTGAATTCTCTACATGATTACAGAATAACCACTCATATATATCATGTTTAAATACATATTATGTATGCGTTTACATTTTTTTAATTTGAATATCAGATCCGAAAAATTTTGGTCCCATTTTTTAAAATGTTTTTTTTATTTTCTGACGTCGTTAAATGTGACGTCATCTTGCGCCATTCATCATGCACAAGCCTTCCCTCCCCCTCCCATCACGATGCATCACAACATCTCGCAAAACCAACTTGTTTTTGTGGCTTGAAACATCACTATTGCTCATTAAGCAAATTGGAAAGTGTTACAGAACCAATGCATATGCACGATATATATAAGATTCAAAATTACGAATAAATGTTTGATTCGGCTGTCTCAAAACATAGCTCAGCCTGCATTTAAGATTATTTAAAAGAAGCAGTTTTTTTTAAAATAATCACTGCACAATCGATCATGGCGGTGGATGGAGTGGGAAGGGCTGAGAATACGGAAACAGCGGGGACCAATAGCCAGGGCTATAAAGACGACCCAGGACGGGACCCACGGCCACAGCTGGGTTGCCGAGCCTGGCGCTCAGTGGCCGTGGGAACGCAACACGGTCGTACGTGAGCCCATCCTTCAAAATCTACCGCTACAATTAAACGCGTGCAAACCCGTAGGCCCACAGTGGGGGGGGGGGGGGTGGGGGACATTAAATTTTGCCTGCAGAGGGAAAGCGAGAATCAATGCATACATCCAGAAATAGGCTATGGATTGGAAACAGCGATGCAGAAAGTACACAAAAGCGGAGTACGAAAGGAAATGAGCCAAGATTAAATCGGAAGTAAGAAAGGAAACGTGTGGATTGGGGAACAAAGAACCATCCATAATTTCTAAGTCGCTGCTGATATTTAGTCAAAATGTGTTTCATTCAACAGGGGGAATGTAAAATATTTAAATTCACACTTCTAAGTCAAAAAACCACGAGCCCCGACTCTTCACACTCAACCCGTTTCCCCTGTCCACACGACACGGCCTTGCCAAATATGCCACTGTACCATGACGGGTGCACCGAATGGCACTTTTTACTATTCGGTCAAAGAGAGAATACCTCGAGTAGGTATTCAACTGATTTTTTACTTACCGTGGGGGCATCATAAGACGCCATGAAGGCCACAATCGTACAACCCTGCAACCTTGCCCTCTCCCCTCACTCCCCGCCTTCCCCTCACCTCACCCCCCGGTCTTTCGGACTTTCTGCTTTAACCAAAACTAAACTATTTTTGTACTTTACTAGGTAAGGCCCACTGAGCGATATGGATATTTTTAAGAAGTGACCTGGCCATCACTAATAATAGCTCAACGAGGTGGCTTATCATGTGCTAATTTATAGTGACCAAATACTCTGGACGCATGTTCATTTTAAATGCAGAGGAAAAAACCGGAGAACCCGGAAAAAAGTCCATGCGACCACAGGAAGAGAGACATGCACACTCCAAATATACAGCCGTCAGGGTCGGGATCGAACCTACGACCTCCTGCATAGCAGCCGAGGCAGTTAACATCTCGCCACCACGGCGCCCCCTAACTAATCGCCCTCTCTCACGTCGCATATCGTGACTGTTAAGTCAACATGGCCCTCAATATAAGAGCTATGTACACTACTGCACGACTGGGTGTAAGGTGCCACAACGTATGACGGAAAAGTACGTGCACGCGTGACCGCATACAACATGGTGTAAGGCATCAGTTTACAAATGGCACTCCAGTGTGCATGTCGCGTGTACGAGCGAGTATACAAACCACGGTGCATGGGTCATTGTTTGTGTGTGCATGGCACGTAAGCAGCACGGTGTAGGTGTCGCAATGTACGACGCGACAGCAGCTGGTATACCGGATTCTCTTCTGCAGCTGCAGGCTGTCGTGGATGATCTTGCGAACGAACTCCAACTCGCCTCCCTCAGCCATGATCTCCGTGGCGCCGCCAGTATTCACCGAGCTGGGGGGCGGCCGGTGAGAGTTGCGAGAGTTGACGCCCTGGGGTGGGTGGCGAGGCAGGGAGGGTAAGACCAAGCAAGCCACCACGGTGGTGACATGTTAACTACCTCGCCTGGTATACAGGAGGTTGTGGGTTCGATTCCGACCCTGACGCCTGTATATTTAGAGTTTGCATGTTCCCTGAGGTTACGTGGATTTTTTACTCGATTCTACAGTTTTTCCTTCCACATTTAGCAACATACATTTTTTGGTATTTGGCTGCTATACATTTTCACAGTATAAGCAACTTCGTTGAGCTATTAATTTGTGGCCAGGTGACTTCTGAGAAAGGAGCTATATAGCTCAGTGGGCCTAACCTGGTCGAATAAAAATTGTTTAGTTTAAGCAAATCTCTTTTAAAAAAAAAAACATACGGGCGAACACTGCTGACATCAAAACTCTTCACGAACAGACTAAGGAACACCCAGGCCCTCAACCATGCCATCACATTCAGCGGAAAGACAGTCTTCATTTTCACACCCGCGTGGCATGAAAATGTTGTGATGAGATCGTGAAGTTGCATCGTTACATCTCATGAAGTTCATGGCACCATGTGCTGTCCACTTATGTAAAAAAGCATTTGGCACCGAGTGCCTATTACATACTCACGTTAGTCATCGCCACAAAGTTCATTGTCTCTCGTCAGTACAACATTCAACATTGGGCATACGACAATTCACCTCTCCCGTAATTAGATGGAATGATCGCAATAAGTCCATTCAAGAATGTGTTCCTTTTCTTTGTCTCACTCTCTCATTTGTATTGTTTGTCTGGGATGCGTCCTGCCTTGTTTGCCATCACATTTATTTCATTATCGGAAAGGCATAATTTTGCATAAATAATTTAATGCGTGAATCACGAGCATGACTACTAATTTTTTATTAATCGATCAATTGCTTATGATGATGTAATATTCTGCAAAAACAGATTTTAACAAAGAAAATAGGATTATTTTTTACTTCCTGACTCGTAAATTTATGCCATTTCTTTGATGAAAATTTTAAGTTTAAGCAGTTTTCATCCAGCTTTTTAAAGTTTTTCTTTTGTTTACATCATCTTAGTATGTTAACTTTGCCCTCAAGTTACAACCTCCTTCTGAAGCCACCTGCCGACTTTCGAATTGTGTCCATCGCAAGCCTTGCACACAAAGGGAGCCATCACTTGCACCACATGACACAGCCATCGATCCCCACTGGTTGATGTTTAATTTATTTTTATGTGAGGACGGTGGATGGGGGGGGGTGGAGGAAAATCACAACCTAAAATTGACATTGTGGAATTGTGGCTAAAATTAAATGTTTTGGAGAATGAGAAAAAAACTCAAGATGGAGCACCAAGTGAGAACACATACATCAAAGGCAAAGTGAAAAGATCGGTCACTGTCTTTGGTGGATGACAGCCGAGCGAGCGTAGACCGCATTTGCCGCCCGTCCATTTCGTGGTGAGTCGATGAGAATTACCCGTGTGACGTTTTCTTGTGGTTGCACAGGAATTTTAAAAAATAGCCACTGGCGGACTTCACGGACAGACAGCGGCGCGCGCGCAAGCGGACTTTTGTGTGCCGTTACCACGGTGGACATTTGCCAAGTTTGAAATTACCATCAACGATTAGATAATTTAAAAAAATCTCTCTTAGGGATGGGCTGGGGGGGGGGGCACATATAAAGAGGCAGTTATACATACTGGTTCAGTAGATTTGTCCAACATGAACGCAGGATAAACTTGATCTAGGTAGGCAAGTTGGCCCGTTAAAATGAATTGCCACCTTTGCAAGGCAAATTTCAAATGCTAACACCGTTTTAGGATGCAGTTGGCACGCCAACAAACTGTTATTCGATTGTATCCAGGAAGGTTAGGCTTAAATGGATGGGATATGTGCGCATAATAAAGGATGGCAGGTTACCAAGACAGACAGTGGAGTAGTAACCAGGGGTCAGTGACCTAAAGCCAGATTGTGGGACACTAACAACAGACCGTGGAGGTCAGGTGTCAACTTGCGACAACTTTGAGATCTAACAGAAGAAAGCGATGGCTACAAAGTGATGTGGTGACATCAACAGCAATGGCCACAGTGACCTCTTGACCTTGAACACTCTTTTGTCATCTATTGATATGTCACTGGTCTAGTTGTTTTTTAGTAATTTAGCTGTGGATATCAGCTTTAAATATGGGCTGTAACAACATCAAACCATGTAATGGAGTCATTATGCTTACTTGGCAGCAGACGTCCACTTTACAAAGCTAATGCAATTCATGAAGCAGGAATTGACAGGCAGCTTCAGAATCCAAACCATTCTGTTGTGAAAATTGGTTCACAGGAATGCACACCTACCAAAAAAAACTCTCTCCAAACACCTCTAATTACAACCCAAGCGATGCCGATCTTACATAGGCCTCCTGCTGGTTGGCAAAGAATGGCGGGTTGCACACGCAAAAGTCGTACGCCAACTCGGGATCTTCGTTCAGCGCCTCCACCAGCAGCGTCTTCTGCGGCACCTTCATGACTGCAACAGCACGAGAGCGCAAGGTTTGACGAAATGGGATTCATTATGAGAGTTACTGTAAACGTCATGCTGATATGAGTGCATCCCGTTTCTTCACAGCGATCGTGCCGACCAGCAGTTCACAAACCGGGCTGCAAGGCATACATGCCTCGTACCTGTCTGTGCCAAGAACCCCTTAGCAGACACACCGATGCAAATTTTGTGCAAGTCTGATTCACAGGGACTCCTCTACTTACGAATATTCGACTTATGTTCTTTCAGAGATACGAACAAACCTGTCTGTATGTCCAGGTGCCTGTTCGGACCGAGAGTTGTAAGTTCAACCGCCGCGCAAAAAATGGCGGTGGTGGCATCAACATCTGCAGAACATGAAGAACCAGTGGCATCTACATCTACCGGAGCATATACAACTTTTAAAGCCATTCCCCGTGTTTAGTGTACATGCCATACAACATGTTTGGAATCGACAGGAGGAAACAAATCGACTTACGAACAGACACCTGGAACCTAACTCCTCCATAAGCAGAGGAACCCCTGAAGTCAAGTGCGCCGATTAATGGAAGGTGGAAAAGGCTGCCCAGGGATGAGTTCATAGTCGTGTTGCAGAATGGAGCAGGCACAGAGAGAATTTAAGAGCTAAGGTCTTGCCAACTACCAAATGTAAAATTATTTCTCAGTCAAGGGAGATTTTGAGTTTCGGGCCTTCGCAGCAATAACCGCTCAAAGAGACCAACTCGTCAATTTATTTTGCACTCGCAACTGCCTTATCCCAGCTGTTGTAAACCCAATGAAAACATCAACAACACTCAAGTCAAAGGGGTCCAATACGATCCTCGAGATGCCCCTTTTAAATAAAAAGGACACCTCACTGCCAATGCAGAGGTTGCGCCACCGTCGCCTGTTAATTTGTCACGCATCGCTGTGCCGCTCCTGCCCGAACAGCGAGCGAGCTATCTCCAGGGGTGTTGCCCATGTGGCAGTGAGGACAACCCCTTTGCCGTGTCGCATTGGGAGCCAAGCGTGGCGAGAGGCGGGCAAGCGGATCTCCCGATATTGAGGGTTGCTTTTCGAGACCAGCGGAAACCTCGAGGCGTGTAATGACCACCGTCTGGGAGAGGATTGCCTCCCGTCAAAAGTAACCGGCTGTGAAGGAGCGGATTAACTGCATTTGCTAAATGGAACGAAGGCTGCCTCTGTCACTGTTATCATGAAATGTGAGGTGTACCCACCACCTGTTAACTGACTGCAGAGAGATATATCGAAGCAGCTCAATGGAAATAATCACTTGGTTTGAGTGGTTCATGTTACTTGTAAGTATAAGCTTGTTTGGAGATGAACAATATGCACATTACAATAACTGAATAAAATTTTGATTTAAAGCTTTCGTGACTGCAGTAATTCTTATTCTTAGCTCTTTCGGTAAAGTCACGTTGAAGGGAAACAATAAAATTATAAAATATATATAAAACAATAAAAATTCTCACGACGTTTCGACCATAACACAAACGGTCGTCATCAGGTGTGAAAAAACCAACGGCAAGAAACATTTGAAAAAGTGTCGGTTTGCATTAATTTATATATTTTTAAACGGTGTATTTATTTATTTAAAAAACGTCAGTGCCACGCGCAGCGATTTGGCAATTTATTTAGAAGGAGTAGTCCATCTATGTTCTGAAAAGAGGAGGGGGGAGACAAAAAATTAATGTATGCTGTCTGAAAGCCACCATAAGCGTGAACAATCAATTAAGACCTGAAATGCTTTATCAAATCCTTCCAATGATTGCTAAGCCAGAATAATAACTGAATACATTCATTGTACTTTATTTTTTTAAAGCACTTTTTTTTTTCATCACAATGAGATGTTCTGGCCAACATCATGCCAGCAAACCTCTGTGGGGATGCCGTAACATCAAACCGTCAGGGAAAAATACGAGGAAGCAGAGACCTCCCCTGTTACACCAGGCCTTGCTCGACCCTCCACGAACACGTCTGAGATACCAGAAACCAACTGGCTGAAGTGGGGTCAACTGAAGGCCGCTGGCAAACAAACTGTGGAGTTGTGCTGCCGAGGTTCCGAATAAAATCCTCATCGAGTGTCCCACCACTGCTCCGCACGGCTTTGTTCTGCCAGGAAAACTTTGGTGGCTCTTCCATCAACCGCTACAGAACGGTGGCCGCTCACTGCTGCTGCTGCGCACACCTCTGTCCACACGTGGGGCATTAGAAATGACCCCCCCACCCAGTGCAGGGACTGTGGCCACCCGAACTAAACAACGCACCACATCGCGAACAACTGCATAGTACGCCTGCTCTCCTACGGACTGGACAGCACGCGTCTCGCTGCCCCCGAAGCTATCACACGCCTTGCAAACTTAAAACATGGATGTATAATTTACACATACTTTCCACACACTGGAATGTGACTAGTGTTAAGATGGCGCTTGTGTTAACAATGCCATTAGTTAACGCCCGCGTCGAAGGTCGTGGAGGGGCACGGGGCGTGGACTGCGCATCCTCACCGCGCACGAGCCCCTGCAGACCATTTCGCGCCACGTTCTGGGTGGCGTAGGTGAAGCACACGTTGTCCACCTCGGTGGCCAGGAAGTGCCAACCGTTCATGGTGGCACCGAGTAGTGGGTAGATGCACGAGGCGCCTGTGCCTGCCAAGGACAAATGCGAGTGCTCAGCAGGCTTCATTAATCATTAATAATAACATTTATTTAAGCGGGGCAAACACTTGAGCTTGGCATCTAAATTCAAAGGGGACCCTGGTAAGAGGGCCAATTGAAAAGAGGACCCTGGTAAGAGGGCCATTATATACGAGGTCAATATAGAATAAATTAGATCAGCAGATATATCCAACAAGAAATAGACACCAAATACATAACTGAACATAAATAAATTGCAATGTAAAATATATATCAATATTGAAATACATTGAATACAAATGTTGCGTAAAATTATAAAAAAAATGTTCAATTGTGTGCATAGCAGGAAGTTACCAAATGGGTCATGACTATGCATGTTACATCCTCATAATCATGATGTTTAAACATTGCTTAAAGAGATAAAAATGGAATCAAGTTCACTGCACAAGGCATTCTGCCATATCATAAGCGAAATTACAACCTCGTCATTTAGATATTACATCCAAAAGCAACAGCATCTATTTTTTATTTGTAAGAGTAAAATAAACGGAGAGAAAATTCGCCGCCATCAATTTCACATTTTGTACTAATGTGCAGGCTGAGACAAAATAACAATAATTAAGGCTGCACAGCATTACGGCAAATCAACAATACCATGTAAGCCTAACAAACAGTGGATATAGTTAATTGCACAGCAACAATATTAAATAAAACAGGCTTAAAATTAATACGTTTTTAAAGGTTGACGAATTATGCCATAATGCAGTAGTGAAAGTCTAGAGGATTTACACCATATCTTACTTGCAATAGTCAAATTTAGCAAACTCTTTTCATGGCCTCTGACGAGTCATTGCATTGCCACAGATGTCGGCAGGCTCATTTAATCCTGTAAATGAGCGTGATTGATTTATATGCCAAGGCAAACCACAACACGCCTTCAATTTAACTTTTACTCAAGTCCACTATATGGCGCTCTTGAACAGTGCAGATGATCGTGTACCTCCACAGATCTGGACATCAATGAAACATCAGACGTTTCTCAATCATACGCGTTAAACTATCAAGAGACCTGTGTAGTCACGGTTACAAGAAAACAGCGATCCCAGTTGGTGCAATTTTCAATCAAGTGTGACATGTGTGCCCAATATGGGGGAGGGAAGGCTACCAAGACAGGCATTGGAGCGGCATTTAAAGCTGACAACCAAGGGGAATATCTGAAGCCAGATAACGCCAAATAATACTGTAAGTGGACTTTTTTAAGCGCTGTATTTCAATTGTACAAAAGCTGTGGGATTCTAGCATAGAGGAGAAAGTGATACCAATGCTGGACAAATCATTCTTGACCTGAATAACATTTTAAATGTGGAATCCGGGAAAAGTCAGTGACACATAATGACCTCTTGTAGCCTGTTTTTTTTCATAATGTCGATTCACAAGTCAGAAAACTTTGGTTACTTTGTCCGTAATAAAATCGCCGGGCAACGAATGGAGAGGAAAACGAACACTTATACACACACACACACACAGACTCAATCGAGAGTGTGCATAAACAACTTAGCTTACCGATGTCAATGCCATGCACTGATTTCTCGGGGTCCCTGCTCAAGCTGCTGCCTAGCAGATCCTCCACCCAGTGGATATAGTTGAGGCGGAGAGGCAGGGTTGGGATGAGGCGCTCCAGAGGGATTTCGATGCTCAGTCCAAAATCCTCCTGCAGGAGGGCACAGGTGAGTGCACGCACAGCTTCCGGCTCCTTGAAGTTCAGCCTGCAAAAGGTGGGCAATGGGGGAGGAAGTACAAAAATACAAGACTTGCTGTTTAAACCTGCAGTGCGTTATAGGCAACGTGCTGTTAACGCTCTCCCGTTCCAAGACATCTGCAAGTTGCAGGGTGGGTCTCGTTCACCGCTCTTAACGACACGACCGCACTCGATGATAGCTGGCACCAAACCGTGCCATGTGTCCTTCCGCATGGCCCTTTTGCTTCCAATCACATTCAGAATCGATTTGAATCCGTTCGGAGTATATATTCCGTTCCAATGACATAAAACGTATGGAATCGGAATGGAATCGGTAGAAAAGCTGACGACGTACGCGTACGTCGCCGGAATGGGGAAGGGTTAATGAGCACCTACAAGGGCTCTGCGCACAACGGGTGATGTGGCCAGCACCATCACAAGTGGAACATTTTTTGTCTCTCTAAGGGGGCTGATGTGTGCACAACGCACTAGGGTATCATTTAAGCCTCGGTTGACCTTGGAGAGGCCCCCCGATTAGACTTAGGTAGCGATTGCCACTTATTTTATTCATGAGCAACAATTGAGCCCAGGCGACCGAATTGGTAGCAGTGCACTAACTACTGCGCCAAACAACCCCGAGCTCGCGAGCCGGCGCCGGCCTCTCGCGAACCAAATAAGCGGCCTCCAAATATATTCCGTGGTACAACTTCTCTCATCCACACCTCCGATTAGCACGGTTGGCTGCGTACGGTGTGAAAGGAGTTCAATGTACAGACACCCCCTGCAGAAACTACATTTATATATACACACACAGAAAAAACACCCTCATGCGTACACAGTAAGAAAAGCTTATGGTTACCGTGATCTACATTTTTCATGACGAAACGATATTCGATATGATACAACAATGATCAGTTTCCTATGAAATTGTATTTGTAAGTCAAATGTTTATTGTTTTATTTTTGTGGTTTGCTGCACTCTCACTAAGTGTAAATAAAGTTCACCAACTGCAGTTCACTCAACCCAAGTCTGCCCCCGAGTATTATAATCAGCACATTTAATTATTATCATGCATTGTTACTTGCACTAAAAGTTATTAAAATTCGAATCAACCAAAAATATCTGTCATACAATTGTCAAGCCATTAATTGTTCAGAAAAACAATCGCAAAGGACTAATTGCATGATTAATAGGAATTGATTTACAATAATTTAATTTGTTATTTCAAATCAGTTGTAAGGAGTTAAAACATTTGATAAAATACTGTGATGATGATATAACAATATTCAGTAAAATGGATTTTAAACGGTCATGGATTGTACATCGTACGACATATCTTAGTATTGACATATCTTAGTATCACGATATCATAGCAACCTAGGAATGAAGTACCTGCACAGGGGATAGAGACGTGCCAAATCAAACCACTGGCAGAGTACAAGATGCAACCAACACTGGACGTGCCTCCGAGCAACCATACTCACTGCATTTAATTAATAATAATCCTGTAAATGGAGAAAATAAAGTGATCTCAATCATCAATACATTTCATTAAAGCTATTTTTATTCACATTAGTGTTCCTTATTTTAACCTTATGGTGGGACCCCAGGGTCCCGATTAAGCAGAATTCTAAATCGTAATTCATTTAATTATTTTTGGCGACTCCGTCCCACCGCGCAACATAAACGCCGCGACCCGCTTGCCACGGATCATTGTTGTCGTGTCGTCAAAGCACAGCGAGGACGAATGCGCAGAAGAAACAAAACTTTGAAACTTTGATTAGCGCATCGTGTAGAGCTCGTCGAGAGGAATAGATTGCCGCATCGCTCGCCTTCAACAGACATAAAATGACGTCGCAACACAGTTTATGTGAGAGCCGGGGGCTTATGGGACCCCGGGGTCCCGCCATAAGGTTCATTTGATCACATTTAAAAACGTGACAATCCATTGTGAATTGGTCTCTTTTGCAAGGATGATCTCAGAAATATCATTATGCAGTGGCGGTAACAACTTAGCACAATTTGGTTAGAGGCAATGCGAGGGCATATTGAGATCAACGAGTCCTCATCTGATTAAATGACGGATATTGTGAATAATGATATTTCAATTAACGCTCACGTCAATTTACATTAACAAAAAAACAGTGGGGAACTTGTCGGCTTCTCGTCTCCAGCGTGCTGCCCATTATCGCTCCACGGTACCGAGATCAAACACATGGCAGTGTAACCCGCCAGACATTACACGACCTCCGAATGTGGTGTTTCGTGTATAATAACATTTGCCCACTTGTGATAAAACATTGATGTTGCGCATCGATTTTGAGTTCTACTTCTTCCCCATGGCATTATTCCTGTTACAAACCTGATTGGATGCTTCAAAGGCAGTACATCAGAGCAGTGATATGACAAAAACAGGCCAAAATTATTAATAATAAAACACCCTTCTTAAAAGTAAACAATAACTCGAAAAGTGCACACAGCACAAAAGTGTTTACAATGAGCTGTGGAACAATCCCAGAATTGTATGACAATATTAAGTGTCTTGCAAGGACATCAGTACAACACGCCCCACTGTGTTTAAGATTGCCACTCCGCGTAAAAGAGTTTCATCATTTTATCTCAGCATGGGACCCTTTTGGTTTGGCTTGCACATATAAAATCAGTACGGTCCCAATGAATGCCAAAATACCCTGATAAAACTGACAGCCAGGGATGAATACCAATGCGATGGTACTTTGAGAACACCGATTACACGCAGTCAAGGCACAATCAAGCCCCAACTCGATTAGCCAAATGAGACAGCTCAGATTACTCGGAGAGTCTACATCAGAAGGTGGCAGATAAATTGAATGTGAGCTGCGTGGAAGATGTAAAATTATTTCATTACAGAGGCTGCATCAGCCACACCTGGCATACACCATTCATGATACCCGGGGGGCTCATTTCTATCATCCGTGTGAGGTTAAAGGTGCCCTTGGTGATGGGAGCTGATTGCCAATGGAATGAAACCGCCACCAAGCATTTCCCTTACAATACCAGTTGGAGAGACCGTAATAGCTGTCTTGCAGTCCTGATTAACCTTATAAAAGTACAAGTCACTGAATAATGAAGCCTATAAATTCGACTTTTTCCATGAAATGAAACTGACATGAAGAGATAGCACATTCTCTGTGGTGCGGCATCCGGCTATCTGTGAATGTAAGCGCATGTGACTGGTTCCACCGATGAAAATAAATGTAAGAAGAGTTGCAACTGCAGTTGTTAAACATGTTTTTTAATTACTGGTAATCGCATACAATAGGCAAAAACGGTTACCGACTTGAAGCACATTCAGATTTCGCACAGTAAACGTAACAATTTTTTTTACTGAAAAACTAAGGGTGCTGCGGTGGTGTAATGGTTCACACACTTGGACTTGCAATTTAGAGGCTGGCAGCCTGATTTGATCTCCAAGGTGTTGAACCAATGGGGACAATTTTCTTAAATCTCCCCCCAGCTCTATCCACTCAGCAGTATACATGGATAAACCACAGTTAGTCAATTGGTAGTTCAAGTGTGGTGGGGTAACATGTGGGGTACACCCACCTCTTCCAAGGTGCCTGGGCAACGTGAAAGAATAGACCAATTACCCGCCAAACTTCCCTATACTCATGGAAGCCCTTCCGCCAGTAGTGATGTGAACCATAAATTGCATGGCTGCAACTTGACCTTTTAATTAAGAAACAAGTGCATTTGTACCATGCGATGACTTCGGCCTGCCACTGGTACTTTATTACGGCTGCCACCGATTAATCACTCTCTTACAGGTCAAGCAGTTTTAACACTTCCCTTTGAAATAAATTGCCAATTCCTGACCATCATAATCGGTAATCGAGACCGAAAACGATTTCTGGCAAAACCAATTATCGTTTAACACCTATAGTTGCAATGTGCAGTTTAATGGATTTATTAAACGGGTTTTTTTCCCCCCTCAAACATCAGAATGCACGTCGTTTGCTCATTTTCATGGCACGCTGACAATTTCTGCAGACAAATAGGAACAAGGCTGTACTTAACTGGCTATTAAAGACCCTGTAACATCACTCACACGTATAGACCATTTTGTGGCTGTCAAATTCCAAGTTCCACATTTTTTCAATGACACGCAACTTAAACACCTTGAATCATTGTCTCCTGGTTAATTAAAGAACAAATAATTCCATTTATAATCAAGTAAATTTCCACTTAGATGGTCCCCTTTTTTTTACAAGAGATGGACATTGAAAATGTAAAGTGTTAATGAGCTACACTTGAGGCAACAACATTCATTACAAATGTGCCGTCGCTACAATTGGCTCGCATTCAACAGCTCTATCTGTGGCTAGAGCAAAAAAAGAGATCCTCCGTGTCAACATAAACATTTGATTTACAGCTCCAACCTGTATTCCCAGGAACATGCATTTCCGGCATGTTGCGTTATTGGATGCTGGGAAGGCATATAATTTAGTGCAATTGCGAAGGCACTACTTAAGTAATCGGGGAAGCATGCTTTGCACAATGAATTATAAACCATTGACTCAAGGGTCTCGTCCCTCATCATTAGTTTACTCTGACCATGTGTGTGCTGGAATGAGGAACCGACAATTGGCCGACGATGTGTGACCTTGTAAATGTTTAAAATGCGGACTTTGATTGGGCAGAAAAAAAAAAGCTTAACTCTGTTGTCCAAATGGCAAAAAGTAACAACTGCGATAACAAGAAAAACACAAGAAATGTTTAACGAAAAGTTAAGGCTGTGATAACGCAGCATCATTACCGCACACGGCCGGAGAGGTCTGTCTGCACGTGCTTCTTGAATTCGGGGTTTCTGCTGGCCAGCAATGCGAAGTCAGGTGGTTTGTCCTTGTAGCGGTTGCGGGGGTGCATATCCCTGTTGAGCGCCATTGCTGAAGCCTGGAGACAGGAAACAAGGTCACCTTTAAATCGCAAAGAAATATGAAGCCACGTTTAACACTGAACGCCTTACATGCCCCCCCCCCCCACCCTTGCTCAACAAAGGGGATTCAAAAGGTGGTAATGTGACCAGAGGGTTTTTATCCAGACACAAAGAAACTACATGCATTACATTAAGGGGCTGGTGGGGGAGAGCAGGCAATGTTTTGGAGGCACTTTATTTATTTATTTAACATGACCGTGGCTATGGGAGTGTTGTTTTGTATGCAATCCACTATAAAGGAAGCTCAAATACATGAAATGGCGGCTGGGGGGTGGGGATCAACGTGATGTGTCAAATTTGTACACCTTTTAGGTTTATTGTGCATACTCTGAAGTGGTTACGGGGGAAAAAACCCCTTGACAAAGTGGAATAATCTCACACTGAAGTAGCCTGTACACGCCACTCAATTCTGTCACTGAGGCTGTGTTTGGTCAGTGCTTTTAAGGCTGCTGAAGGCTTTTCAGTAGAGCCGGCACCATGCTGGCTGTACCCGGTTCGGTATACAGTATTGTAATTTTTCAAAAGGTCGCCATAGCATTCCATGACAAAGGAGGCCAAAGAAAATGAAATGCTGAATAACCGACGGCCCATACCAAAGGGGGTTGCTGTTTCTCAGCACTATAAAGTGGTCTTCAGACCAAGCCAGGCTTTGCACAGAAAGCCGCTCACAATGGTAGTGAACTCTCGTGGCAAACTTGTGCGACGCATGCATTGGTGCAACAAACTGCATAGGTTAAAAGTACAGCAAGTCCTCGTTTAACGTGGTTGATGCGTTCCTGAAAAGTGCAGCGTTAAGCGAAAAACGCGTTGAGCGAAAACAATTTCCCCATAAAGAATGCAACGGTGACATTTGGCGAGATATGATGTACGCACACAATAGGTTTCGCAAATTTAAGTGATCCACTAACCCACAATCACACATTTCTGGCCAACATACATGCGCCCCCCCCACCTCCCGGCTCACCATCATACAATTGTTTTCTTTTATTTTGTTTTATTTTATCTACGTGACTTTACCGAATAAAACCAAAGAGTATGAATCCTTGCAGTCACGAAAGCTTCAAATCTAGAATCATACAAAAGCTTTAGTAATCAGCAATGAGGGCATCTTAAAAATGTATAAGTTGGGGAAATAGCAAAGACAAATGCATATGTTATGTTGAATGCTGACCACACTGATTGAAATGGTGACGTCTGACCCAGAAAATATTAAAAGTGGAAGAGGTTTCAGAGTCAGACTATCTTTAAACAAAGAGCTCCCGAAACAGATTTCAGGAGCGCAAGAGAAGACCGTGACACAATTACTTCAGGAATTCACATTTAACTTGAACCAAGTATGTACAGATAATCATCGATTATCCGGCACCGCGCAATTATCTGGCTGCTTCCAACATTTATTTGGTGGTCCCGGGCTGATCCGGCGAAACTGGCAAAATCACTCGAAATGCTGTACCCAGTCCGGCTATCGGCACCGTGTGCGTGACAAAAAAGTAGCTACGCTTGATTTCAGTGTCAAATATTACAGACATACAACTTAAATAATTAAAATACTGCACGTATATACATCACCCCATGCAGAGTCTTAGAGATTGGAGTGGTGAGTATGGTGGAGTAAAAACAGCAACTTTTTACAGTAGGATATTTGTCCATTTGTAAGTTTATTTATGCCAATGTCATGTCGTAAACTAATTTTAAACAACAAAAATGTCATGGCAAGAATGTGCAAAAATAAGCAATTTTAAATAATAATGTAGTGCTCTTTGGTTTTTCGGTAAAGTCACGTAGGTAAAATAAAATAAATGAAAACTAAATTAAATCACGACGTTTCGGAGTTGTGACTGTCAGGTGGGAGTCACTGCTGTGTATGTACAATGATCATGTGACTGTCCCACCTGAAGACGGAAGCTTATGTTGCCTCTGAAACGTCGTGATTTAATTTAGCTGTTTTCATTTATTTTATTTTACCTACGTGACTTTACCGAAAAAAACAAAGAGTATGAATCCATGCAGTCACGAAAGCTTCAAATCTAGAAATAATGTAGTGATTATCCGGCGTCTTTGGAAATCCGGCGCCCCCTCCCGCCCCGAAGTCGCCGGATAATCGATTATCTACTACACTGTATTAAATCGATGATCTACCGTACTGTATATAATCCATTATCTCCTGTACTGTATATTAGGGCTAGGCAGATATGTTAACTCGAACGGCCCTCTGCTTTTGAAACACTGGGGGCTGAAGGGATATTTTCATCTTGGCACTCAACCAACGTTGCAAAGTGCCTGGGTGAGGGCCTAATTTAAGATCAGGTACACAATAAAAAAAATCCAACTACGAATGAAATAGCGTTACTCCAACAAAGGTTGAGAAAATGTTGCGTAAACACAAAACAGGAACTAATTCTGTCAAATTTTGATTTAAAGCTTTCGTGACTGCAGGGATTCATATTCTTGGTTCTTTCGGTAAAGTCACGTAGAAGGGAAACAATAAAATAATATCAAACAATAAAATAATTTCATTTTATTGTTTCCCTTCTAATATTATTTTATTGTTTCCCTTCTACGTGACTTTACCGAAAGAACCAAGAATATATAATTTGTTCAAACCACTTGTGAGTTTATACTACGTCCTAACATGGGACCTTTCTTTCCAGTATCAAAGTATAAGAAACCTTTTGGTGTTTGAACATCTTAACACCCGTTTTATTTCTATAAAGGGTAAAAAAAACACCCATTCTTATACTTTGATACTGGCAAGAAGGTAACGTGTCGGAGCTGCTATAAATACGCTCTGATAGTGGCACTGTCTTTGTGCTGTTCGCCTTTTGGCGTTCTTCTCTGGTCTGACACTGGTACTGAGGACAAGGCCCCAAATAAGTCTGTTGCTGTCTCTGATGTAGGCCAATCGGTTTCAAAGACAATGCCAATATATTATTATCAGAGCGATGTTTGTGTGCATGTTCACAACAAGTACTGTCTGTGGTCAATGCGGACTTGATTCCTTGCAAGAGGTTTTTCATACTTTGTACTGGCCTGTTGCACAGTATTTAAAACCGGATTGTTAAGCGTGGCCGGGGGTTCCAAAGTGACAACTTAAAAATAAAAGAGTGCCACTGTGGCTATGCAAACCAAACTGCAGGCCCGCACGGAAGTTAAACCCCCTCTAGATTTAAAGCTTTCGTGACTGCAAGGATCCATACTCTTTGGTTCTATTCGGTAAAGTCACGTAGGTATATTTTTTTACCTACGTGACTTTACCGAATAGAACCAAAGAGTATAAACCCCCCTCTAGCCTGCTCCTTCCTCAACAGAGCAATGTCCAAAAAAAACCCCAAAAAACCCCGTGGCACTCTCTCGAGAAGCCCTCTCTCTCGTTGTGGCGAGCCAGAGGACCTCGAGCATCGGCAACCTCGCCTCGTGGATGGCATTGCTCTCGTCCCACGCAGCAGCAGCAGCAACAACAACAACAGAGAGACACACGGAGAGAGGAGGGAGCCACATGAATGCGAGGCAGACGAGAAACTTCCCCTTCGTGCCCTCAATCATTTCCCCACCTCCGCCTTTTAACGGCACACGGACCCACAGCTCCCCCCCTACCACCACCACCAATTTATTTTTCTTCGCTCCTCGCTCGCCATCGCTCCCTACACCGCGAGACGGCAGGGCAGGGCGAAGGAGAAGAGAGTTGGTGAGGGCCAGGGACGATTTACACCGCGAGCGAGCGCTCACAACAACAACACCCACCACCACCACAGAGAGAAACGAAGTACCGTAACAATAACGCCCAGCGGCGGACCAGGCGGTCGTTAGGGCCACAGGCCACAGGGCCGCGTCCCCTCCACGCAAGAGGGGATTGGGTGCCAGCAACCAAAACAGGCAGAGCCATTTGATTCTCCAGGATTCCACAACAAGCGCCACCACTCAACATATCAAGCGCCGCCGCAATGGATGTAGAAACATCAAACACTGAGCCCCGGCGTGCGGGCTTATTATTATCCCCCCTTTAAGCACCTCCACCCCTCTTTAAACACCTCCACCTTTAAACACCCCCCCCCCCCACCTTTAAACAACCCACTATTAAACACCCCCCCCACTATTAAACACACCCCCTACTATGAAACACCCCCACACTATTAAACACCCCCACTCTATTAAACACCCCCCCACCTTTAAACACCCCCCCCACCACCTTTAAACACCCCCCCCACCTTTAAACACCCCTCCCCCCCCACCTTAAAACACCCCCCCACCACCTTTAAACACCCCCCCCACCTTTAACCCCCCCCACCTTTAAACCCCCCCACCTTTAAACCCCCCCACCTTTAAACACCCCCACCTTTAAACACCCCCCCCCACCTTTAAACACCCCCCCCCACCTTTAAACACCCCTCCCCCCCACCTTTAAACACCCCTCCCCCCCACCTTAAAACACCCCCCCCACCTTTAAACACCCCCCCCACCTTTAAACACCCCCCCCCACCTTTAAACCCCCCCACCTTTAAACACCCCCACCTTTAAACACCCCCCCCACCTTTAAACACCCCCCCCACCTTTAAACACCCCTCCCCCCCACCTTAAAACACCCCCCCCCACCTTAAAACACCCCCCCCCACCTTTAAACACCCCCCCCACCTTTAAACACCCCCCCCACCTTTAAACACCCCCCACCTTTAAACACCCCCCCCACCACCTTTAAACACCCCCCCCACCACCTTTAAACACCCCCCCCCCACCACCTTTAAACACACCCCACCACCTTTAAACACCCCCCCCCACCACCTTTAAACACACCCCCCCCCCACCTTTAACCCCCCCACCTTTAAACACCCCCACCTTTAACCCCCCCCACCTTTAACCCCCCCCCACCTTTAACCCCCCCCCACCTTTAACCCCCCCCCACCTTTAACCCCCCCCACCTTTAAACCCCCCCCACCTTTAAACCCCCCCACCTTTAAACACCCCCACCTTTAAACACCCCCCCACCTTTAAACACCCCCCCCACCTTTAAACACCCCCCCCCACCTTTAAACACCCCCCCCCACCTTTAAACACCCCTCCCCCCACCTTAACCCCTTAAAACACCCCCCCCACCTTTAAACACCCCCCCCACCTTTAAACACCCCCCCCCACCTTTAAACCCCCCCACCTTTAAACACCCCCACCTTTAAACACCCCCCCCACCTTTAAACACCCCCCCCCACCTTTAAACACCCCTCCCCCCCACCTTAAAACACCCCCCCCCACCTTAAAACACCCCCCCCCCACCTTTAAACACCCCCCCCACCTTTAAACACCCCCCACCTTTAAACACCCCCCCCCACCACCTTTAAACACCCCCCCCACCACCTTTAAACACCCCCCCCCCACCACCTTTAAACACACCCCACCACCTTTAAACACCCCCCCCCACCACCTTTAAACACACCCCCCCCCCACCTTTAACCCCCCCACCTTTAAACACCCCCACCTTTAACCCCCCCCCCACCTTTAACCCCCCCCCCCACCTTTAACCCCCCCCCCACCTTTAACCCCCCCCCCCACCTTTAACCCCCCCCCACCTTTAACCCCCCCCCCCACCTTTAAACCCCCCCCCCCCACCTTTAAACCCCCCCCCCACCTTTAAACCCCCCCCACCTTTAACCCCCCCCCCACCTTTAAACCCACCCAACCTTTAACCCCCCCCACCCCGCCTTTAACCCCCCCCACCCCACCTTTAACCCCCCCCCCACCCCACCTTTACCCCCCCCCACCCCACCTTTAACCCCTCCCCTCCCCCCAGACAACTCCCAAACACTCACGGGACGCAGCGACGAACTCCCTCCACGCTCCCAGCGGCAACGACGCCGCCACGCTCGCTCCCCTTCCAATCTCGTAGCGTGGATAGGCATGCGCGCGCGCGCCCCTGCTTCGACGCCGTTTCATTGGCCCGTCGTCTCGCACGTGATCTCGCCTTAGACGCACAGACGGGGGTGGGGTGGGGGGCGCGAGCGGCGCGTGCGGACTGCGATTTACAAACGCCGAGCGCCGTGCGCGTGCGCGCGATCGCCTCACACGTGGGGCGGGGGGGAGGGAGGGGTCTGCGGTTCCTCCGCGTGACGTCACGCTGTGCGGAAGTCGCGCGGTGACGTCGCGCCGAGTGACTCACGTCGCGTGACGTCACGCGACGTGACGTCATCGTCATCAGGTGTGTTGCGATCGAAACGTCGTGATATTATTATTTTTTTTCTATCTCCGTGGCTTTACCGAAAGACCCAAAGAATATCAATATGTCTATCTAAATTTATATTTCCCATATCGCAAATAAAACGAATAGCTGTGGAAATCCACATTGTAAACCACGTGCACGTATGCATACATAAAGTTCCGTGGACTTTTTTTGTTATGTAACTTTACATTGGCTGCCAGAGGAAAGAGGCCGTCCATAAATGACGTCACGCACCTCGGGGAGGGGGGGGTCAGACATTTGTGACGATGGATGATGAGGGGGGGAGGGGTTGAGAAATGTGACGTCACATAAAAATGTGCAACTCTAAATCAATTTAGACAACACGTTCTAATTAATTAAATAGACTTTAAAAAAAATTTCTCCTACAACATCAGAGTGCAGCGCCACATTAAATACGCACTACAATGACAATAGTTTAAAGCAATTTGAAGCATGTTTGATTTTTTTTTGGGGGGGGGGGGCAGAGCTTTGTGATGTCATATTTGAGGGGGGCGGTCTGACTTTTTGTAACGCCGTGTGACGAAAGGGGGGGGTCAAAATTCGTCCAAAATCGCGTGACGTCATTTATGGACAGCCCCAAAGCCCATTGAGACAAGTTTCTCTTTTTTTTTTACAAGTTACACCTCGTGAACCAGTCACGAACAGTGGTTGGATCTTCTGCCCTCATCCACTGGCAGCAGCAATGGATGGATACGTGTGAAAAGTGCATTTGAATAAAGACCTTGAAGCTGGGGGGGGGCGAAACACACCCACACCCCCATGTGTGATCATGGGCAACTACCCCATCAGCCACGTGGCATTCTGCAAGACTGGCCAACTTGACGCTCACAAACACACACAGAGCACGATGGTTCTTGCCAACTCGCAAGTCGTGCAGACCTCTCTCTCTCCTCAGCTGTTTATGAAATGTCACGGTTCTTTCCCTCAAGGGTACAAGCCTCTTCTCCCGTTTTTATGTTTCCTTCCATATCAAGTCGCCCCGCCGCCTCTCTCAGGGGGCAGCAATCGAGTCGAGAGAGAGAGAGAAAGGCCAGAGAGACGAGAGTAGACACCCCAAACAATGTGACACAGAGAGGAAGCAATGAAACACGGATACAAACAAAACGCACACCCTGCGTGTGTTTTTAAAATGTGATCAAACCTCATCCCGCTGGCCAGAGCGGGATGAAGGCGGGAAATGCCGATGCCGGAGCACAGACATACAATGATACAATTAATTGATGTTGCTGCACCGACCTCTGCTTCCCACCATGTAGCCTATAACTCATCGGTGCAAAGCACCAACCAGGCTCAAAATCCTGCTTGTTTTTCCGAGATCTATTCAGATCGGATTCGACCATGGGCGGATTGCTTGCTTTGTAACATCAGAGTATGTGTGTGAAGGTAATACAGATGCCAGGAAATGCCAGTTCAGCAATGGCTTATTGAATCTATCTGTGCGGAGCAATGTCACCAACCCCCCCTCTCCCCCCCCCAGTCATTCTTGAAACTGGCCAATCATTCCCGATGCAGGACCCTCATGACAAAGTCTTGGGTAAATTACATTTGGTATTGCATACTATACTCTAGTTTTCGCGTGCCATTGCACTATCACTGGTTTCACAAGCATAAATAACAATTTAAGAACAATCGTCGATGACACTGCCATAAAAGGAAAACATATAGTATATATAAAAATACATAATTCGTGACGTTTCAGCCAATGGCTCTTCTTCATAGCGATTTCCAATTCGGGAAGTGGTGTTTAGAAATGGGTAGGTTATATAAGCGTAGTACTGTATACAGACTCAGACTTTAACACTTTATTTCAGCTGATAAGGCCCATGGAGATAAGCAAGCTATATATTGCAAATGGACTGGGCCTCGTCATAGGAACGTGGGATATGCACCGCTGGTTCGGAGCTGCTCAGAGAGACGAGCATGTGAGCATATTTTTAGGTTTGTTTCCACGCCGAGATACACGAGCGTGCATCATAGGGTCAGAGGGAGTTTTTGGTGACGATGTGGGTCGATTCGTAACGTTGACATGTGCTTGGAACCGTTGAACCAATGTTGCCAAATTTACTTGGATATCCATTCACGGGTCCATTGTCTTTATCATTGCGTTTCGTGGAGATTTCAGTGTCTGCTGCACGAGGTTTCCATTGAAGCCATGACGATTAATCACCCTCCGCGATAGCTTGGGTGTTCAAAAATCAGCATCTGGATCACGATTCAAGGATATACAGAACTGTGTTCTTTTATTTCACTCTACGTCTCGTATGTTGTTATGGCCAGTTATTTCTCGTGCGTGCCCATTAGCCGAGAGGTAATGTTCACGTTCTCTCCTATAACCTCCGTGAACATTAACTCGTCGATTTCTACGCAAAGTATTGGATTGACATACGCGGTGAGAATGTCACAGGCGCTACGAATCTTCTGTCCACCATCCACTAGGCACAGCAGTGGATGGATGTTCTGTCCACCATCCGCTGGGGACAGCAGTGGATGGATCTTCTGTCCACCATCCGCTGGGTACAGCAGTGGATGGATCTTCTGTCCACCATCCGCTGGGGACAGCAGTGCATGGATCTTCTGTCCACCATCCGCTGGGGACAGCAGTGCATGGATCTTCTGTCTCCCATCCACAGGGGACAGCAGTGGATGGATCTTCTGTCTCCCATCCACAGGGGACAGCAGTGGATGGATCTTCTGTCCACCATCCGCTGGGCACAGCAGTGGATGGATCTTCTGTCTACCATCCACAGGGGACAGCAGTGGATGGATCTTCTGTCCACCATCCGCTGGGCACAGCAGTGGATGGATCTTCTGTCCACCATCCGCTGGGGACAGCAGTGGATGGATCTTCTGTCTCCCATTCACAGGGGACAGCAGTGGATGGATCTTCTGTCCACCATCCGCTAGGCACAGCAGTGGATGGATCTTCTGTCCACCATCCGCTGGGGACAGCAGTGGATGGATCTTCTGTCCACCATCCGCTGGGGACAGCAGTGGATGGATCTTGCACCTTCTGTCCCCCATCCACTGGGTCTTTCGATAAAGTCACGTAGATAGGTTCAAAGAAAATAACAGAAAGAAAATAACAATTTATTATTTTATTTTAACCTATCGACGTGACTTTACCGAAAGACCCAAGAATATGAATTCCTGCAGTCACGAAAGCTTAAGTCAAGCAGTGGATGCATTGCCGGTCCACCATCCGCTGGGGACAGCAGTGAGCAACTCCGCGGGCTGACGTCATCCACGCCCATGTGGCAGCCTGGGTCACGCGTTACCGTGACGTCAGCGCACCGAGGGGCGGGGGCAGGAATGTGTGGGGGATCGAGGGGAGGGGGGATCAAGGAGGAAGGTGACGTGTGGGGCGGGGTTAAGGGAAAGAGGAGAGAGTGGGGGAGCAGAGGGGAGGGGTGGGGGAATTGAGGGGTGAGATTACATTGATTGAATAGGGGAATCAAATGGGAGATTTAGGAAAGGAGGGCGAGGAATCTTGAGATAGGGGAAGTGTGTGGGGATCAAGAGGAGGAGGGGGATGTGGTTGGGGGATCATAGGTGGTGGTAGGAGTGTGTGGGATCATGGCATAGTGGTGGGGGGAGGTATGTGGGGAATCAAGGGGAGGAGGGGAGTGGTTGGGAATCGAGGGGTGAAATGAGGAGGGTGGAGGGATGTTTGGCTTGAAGTGGAAAGTGGGGAGCAAGGGGAGGGGTTTGGAGGAAGGTGGGTGTTGTGTGCAGAAATGGTTCAGGAATGTGGGAGGCGTGGGATTTCAAACGTGGTAGGAGGGTGGAGGATGGAGCAATGGTTTAGGATGTGGAAGAGTGAGGCGAGGACATTGGTGGGGGATCAATGAGTCGGGGATCGAAGGGTGAGGGGGGGTGTCAAGGAGAGGGGTGGGAGATCAAGGAATGGTGGAACAAGAAGTGGGAGGATGGGATGGAGGATCGAGATGATGCAAGGAGATGGACGGGAACGATGGTCGGGGATAGGGCAGTTTTCTTCACTAATTCTCACGGGGGGGGGGGGGGGCGAGAAATCATCAGTGTGAGGTCCGCCACACATTTAAAACCATTCGGGGTTGACAGCAGCACGATGATGGAGGGGTGTTTTCACGTGTTGTGTATTGTTGGGGGGGGCCGCACTAAAGACCACCAGGGGACGCCAGTGGCCCGCGGGCCTTGCAATGAAGAACTCTGGGACTTGGTGGATCGAGGGGTGAGGGGTTGAGGGTGGGAGCAGGCTGGGAGCGACGCTCGCGGGTTGCCCCCAAACTGGACGTCTGTGAGAGACGTCCCACGAGGTGACTGATCCTGGCACATTATGCAAATGAGCTATGACGTAACCACACGGGGCGGGGGTGAGAGAGGGGCAGGTTAGGGGCTGGGCTAGGGTGGGTGAGGAATTCATGGGCGGGGTCAGGGCCTGGTGAGTTGTCGAGGGGCGTGGTCAGTATTGTGCGTCAAAGGGGTCCCCGGGTGAGTGAGTACGAGGGGCGGGGCTGATGGTGAGTGAGGGGCGGGGTTGCTGGTGTGTGAGGGGTGGGGCTGGGGGTGAGTGAGGAGGGGCAGGGTTGAAGGTGAGTGAGGGGCGGGGCTGGTGGTGAGTGAGGAGGGGCGGGGTTGATGGTGAGTGAGGGGCGGGGCTGGTGGTGAGTGAGGGGCGGGGTTGCTGGTGTGTGAGGAGGGGTGGGGCTGGTGATGAGTGAGGGGCGGGGCTGGTGGTGAGGGGCGGGATTGCTGGTGAGGAGAGCGGGGCTGGTGGTGAGTGTGGAGGGGCGGGGCTGGTGGTGAGTGTGGAGGGGCGGGGCTGGTTGTGAGTGAGGGGCGGGGCTGGTGGTGAGGGGCGGGATTGCTGGTGAGGAGGGGCGGGGCTGGTGGTGAGTGAGGAGGGGCGGGGCTGGTGGTGAGTGTGGAGGGGCGGGGCTGGTTGTGTGTGAGGAGGGGCGGGGCTGGTGGTGAGTGTGGAGGGGCGGGGCTGGTTGTGAGTGAGGGGCGGGGCTGGTGGTGAGGGGCGGGATTGCTGGTGAGGAGGGGCGGGGCTGGTGGTGAGTGAGGAGGGGCGGGGCTGGTGGTGTGTGAGGAGGGGCGGGGCTGGTGGTGAGTGTGGAGGGGCGGGGCTGGTTGTGAGTGAGGGGCGGGATTGCTGGTGAGGAGGGGCGGGGCTGGTGGTGTGTGAGGAGGGGCGGGGCTGGTGGTGAGTGAGGGGCGGGGCTGGTGGTGAGTGAGGGGCGGGGCTGATTGGGGGGGGTGGAGCGCTGGAATCGAGGGGCGGGGAGGGCAAGGGGAGGGGGTAACGAGGGGCGGGGGGTGGAATTCGAGGGGCGGGGTGGCGGGCGGTTCGCTCGCCCTGCGCACGCGCGCTGCTGGCTGCTGCTGCTGGCGCGCGGTGCACGCTGGGAGGAGACTCGCGAGGCGGCGGTGGAGGCGGCGACTCCCAGTTCCGCGCGGCGGAGTCAGCGCAGGCGGCAGAGAAAGTCTCGAGGTGAGAGAGAGGAGGAGGGGGGCCCTCACCCTCACCGCCACCGCTGTCTCTCTCTCTCTCTTGCTCGCTACCGCCGCACGCGTTATTATACCAGCCGCTCACCCGTCGCGCTCACCTCCCTGCCCGCGGCGAGGTGAGCGGCGGCGGCGGCGGGGCGGGACCCGAACCGCTTTGCCGCAGGAAGATGGCGGCCGCTGGCGCGGGCGAGAAAAAACAACAGCGCGCAGAGTCGAGCGTGAGGGAGCGAGCGAGCGAGCGGTGTGTGTCTGCGTGTGTGTGTGTGCGCGTGTGTGTTACAGCGCGAGGGTTGTCGTGGGGATGGCAGTGGTGGCATTGAGGCGGTGTTTTTGGTTCGCGTCGCCGTGCGTGCCGAGGTACGGGAGCGAGGGATGCAGGTGACGCCCGAGGAGAAGCGGCCTCCTCCCTCCCTCTCGCTCACTCCACTCTCGCTGTGCGGTCATTTCATTTAATAACATCGGCGTGTATACTAACATACCGCGACATATATATTTAAAACACACCTGACAATGTTTGCCCTCGCAAATGTACAACATCGACGATTATATATACATACTCATAATTAATAGCGTACGTACGTACCCAAATGTACAGGCGTGCATCGCCACATTATTTTCATTTAACCTGATGTTCTTGCCAGTTCGCCCCGAATGAACGGCACGACGTGCCGTACTGGCTTTATTAAATACGTGCCCCACCACGATCCCTTCCTTTAGGGACTCCTTTAGGGGCATCGTCGGTGCCCCACAGTGGGCAAACTTGGGAGCATCTTCACCAACTGCCCATCGCGGCAAGGGGCGCGCTCCGCGTGTTTGTGTTGTCAACGCGGCTTCCTTGGCGCGCACGGTGCTGCGTTTGCGTGCGAAGATGATGGGAGAGAGGAGATGGGGGGGGGGGGGTGGTGGAGGGGGCAGAGTTTGGCGTTGGCCAGACGTGGCGACGTGCGGACATGGGAAAGAAAGAAAGCCAGCGATGCAAGCGCGGTTTCGGGTTTTTTTTTTAGTGTGTGTGTGCGCGTCAAGTTTGTCGGCGAATTCGTTCCGCGCGTATGCGACAAACAAGAAAGACAACGGGGGTTTTGGCCCCCGTGTTTGTAAGAAAGACCTTCTTTCGTTCGGTCGTGTCCCTCTTTCCCCGAGCTGGAATCCTTGGCCGCGGTACAAGTTCGTGACGTAATTGCCGTTTGTCGTTACTGCCCGATGGGGTGTGGGGGGGGTTTTGGTTTCACGTGAAATGTTTCGTTATCTTAATTGTCATTCAATGTCGCTCGTGAATTGTAAAACAAACAAAAAAATCCAAATGCTGCAACGAGGCATTGACGGCAGTCATGATGTGTGCCGACATTCACACTCCTCCACCCACACTGATGGAATGGAGCGCTGCATCATTCCTCTGCTGAAAGGAATGATTAATTCACTGGACGCGCAATTATTATTTCTCGTGTGGAGAGTACATTCATTTAATCGTAGAATTTTAAGCATTATGGGTAAGCTTTGGTCATAGCACACGACTCGCACACAGAAGGCCGCTGGGATCATATTCCGGTCAACAGTCGAACCGGGCCTATCGTCCTCCCTGGGTTTGGGTCGATAAAATCGGTAGCACTTTCTGGGAAGTTAACCAAGGTCACCGCTGCACCTAGCCTGGCACAGCAGCAGTCAACCTTGGTCGTAGACCGAACGCTCACCTCAGGTAGATATAATTTTAAACTAGTGACTCAGGTCCATCAATGGAGATCAGCGCGGCCGCATTGATCATTTGAAGCAAGGAGACACGTTTACGTTTTGAATCATTATTGTCATGTGGGGCGTAGAAGTGTTGACACAGTTGTGTGATTTCTCATCGTTTGTGTTTCACTTGGCAGGTGTCATTTGCGGCGTCGGATGAGAATCTCTGGACACGTGCGCTTCCACGGAATAAAGCCGTCGCGTGTTCAGAATTTCGAGTCGGAGGCCGTGCCAATCGGAGGAACTCGGGTGTTGCTTTGCTGAGGCCGATCTTCGTTTTGGATAATCTGACGCCATCGCAGCAAGCACGATGGTCCTGTCTCAGAGACAACGGGATGAGCTGTGAGTACCCCACGCCTACAGATATTGATTGGTGGAGAGTGCCTAATTCTGCGCTGTCAGCAACTAACCCAGGACGCGTCCGGTGCGGTCTGGCAATAAGAAATGCAAGCTCTCCGTTTGCAACACAATGCACCCGTTTTATTTTTAGTGCGAGGGAGTCCCATGACACCTTTTGGGTCCCAGTTTTAGACTCGGGTTGCCAGTGCACTCGGCTGATGATGCTGTTTTCAATTTGGAAAACCAAATCCAATTTTGACTTAAGCTGTCCGTGTGTGGTGGGCATAACAGCTCGGTGTGTCGTGTATCTGGGGCAACGTTAAGATTGTTTGCTTGGCATGTCGCTGTTGCTTAACCCCATTGCTGCTGTTGGCCATTTTGTAGTGTGCTAAATCATTAGCTTTTGCACCTTATGAAAGGAAAATTGTACGTTTAGCAAAAGCTGTCCTGCAGTTTTGTGTGAAGTTCTGTTTGAAATGTGTATAATCTTTTTACATTTTGTTGCATGTCTGTAGTTTTTTTACTGGCCAAAATGGTTGTCATTGACTCCTGCCAAAGGTTTCGGTATTGCTGGTTGTAATGTAGGTGTGTGATTATGCACTGATGCACCCTGCATTTTTCAGTACCTAGGCCAGAACGGTTTATTTAAGCTGGTTATCGACACGAACAATCGATGTATTATCTTTGTGAACGCGACCTCGAATGCAACTTAATGAGCATACTCTTATTGGTATGGTGAAATGACATTGCTTGGATGCAATTATTTCCAATTTATTAACAACTGTGCAATTACATATACTGTACTGGCAAGAATTTTTTTTGTTTTGGTGAATATTATATTTTGTAGGAAGTGAACATTTTCAAATACTGTTCATTTTCGATGATCTTGCCTTAGAACAAGACATTAACATTTGTAGGAAAATAATCGAGAGTCATTGATGGGTTTATTATGGTCCGTTGGAAATGTGCACAGGCAGCTGCAGTGTATAGCATTGTTTTTGGGGAATGTGAAGTTCCCAGCTCTATAACCATAACCCCAGCATCCGGTGGTTGCAGATGAAGTGGGTAAAGAATTGCAATGCTGCTGTTACTGATGTCAGCCGATGACACATTACCGTGCTCTGTCCAGGCCCGCTGTGCAGCGCATGCACTGCCCTGGCTAATTGGTATCGTTATAAGTGCTCCAATGACGTAGCCTCCTTTTCCACCCGTCTATTGTTCCTTCAGCTAAGTGCACTGTTAAAACTGATCTCAAATAGATTTAAGGAATTTGGCAAGCCCTGCTACCTAGCTACCTATAAAATGTGCATGTTTGCAACTAAGGGAAGACTTGGCAAGTCCTCTGTTGAGATTGGGACATGCAAAGGTTAAGTAAATAAAACGTTGTGCACTCCTGCTATTAGGTCGTGTCTCGTGGATGGAACGTTTGTTCATAGTCTTAATATGTGTGCTGCCAGATTTCATAAATGAAAGTAAATATTCTGAATTTTACATTTAAAGAATATGGTAAATTATGTTTCATTTCAAGCTTTAGATATTGTATTGGTACTGCAGTGACAATTCTCAAATCTCAAGACAATCTTATGGATGGCTTCACATTACGAAAAGTGTCTTTATATTTAACATTGTGTATGTAACTGTTGTCAGAAGAATACACAAATACGAAATGTCAGTGACGGAAATAGGCACAGGTCCTGACATGTCAGAGCCCAAATATTGATGCTTGTCTCTGTATACAATATACTCACATAGCAACAATCCAATGTTTTTTTTCACCATTTAATACAGCTTCTTATGCTGTATGCATGACATGGTATTTTTCCCTATTTTACTGGGCTTAATTTCTTAAAATGTTTCCACTCAAGTCCATTTTAAGCGTGGCACAGATTAGTGGAACAGATGTGTGCATGCCAAGGTAAATGCTGTTTCAGGAATGTTGTTGCAAGGCTGTGATCATTCTTCATTAGGTCACACATTTTCAAATAAGCACCTGAAGGTGGTCTGTTATTAGCATTCGACTTTACCTGGGCAAATATTTTTCTCTCTTTGTATTGGGTAAGCTTGTAGCCACACTTAAATCTACAGAATGAAATATAGACCCTTTTTATCCCGTTTGTGGTGATTCATTTAACACATGGCTTTGATATAATACATCCATGTACACTACAATGTTATTGACCGTGCCAACATTCTTCACGTGTCAACTGGATTTAATGTAACGCTTTTTTTAATATTTCAAAGCACACTTGCATTAAATACATGTAGCTTTTCCAATAAGTCAAATTTTTTGTGTACATTTCCATTCCTTCATGTTTTCCTATCACATTTCTCATCTTTAGAGATAAACTAAAACAACAAAAATGTTTACCAGGTAAGGCCTACTGAGCTATATAGCTCTTTTTCAGAAGCGACCTGGCTACAAATAATAGCCCAATGAAGTGGCTTATGTGGAAATGTATAGCGGCCAAATATTCTAAACACACGTCTCTAAATGCGGAGGGAAAAACCGGAGGACTCTGGAGAACATGCAAACTCCAAATATACAGGCATCAGGGTCGGGATCAAACCCATGGACTCCTGCATACCAGGCGAGGTTGTTAGCATCTCGCCACCATGGCAGCTCCTAGAACTGGTGTTAAGATACTGAGGCCATATTTAAAGTTTAATTTGCATAATTAAACATGGTTGTCACCCAAGCCAAATACCAGTTTAATATATTTAATCTTTACGAAGGAGCGTGCTGTCAAGCTCTACGCTTAAGGCTGAGTTTTAGTCCATGTCACACTTCTGATTGGGCCATTGCATGGTGTGTAGAGGCCCACCCTGCAGAAAACGCTGTGAACAGATTTACCTTGGCAAGCTAACAGATGGGGGGGAAAGGTACATGATGCCAATTCTCCAAGATGGCTCATAGTGCAAGACTGCCTGTTTTAATCGTGGCCGAAGTGTGATTAGAATAGGAATTTGTGTGCGTGAACCTTGGACCTGTCGGCAAACCACACCACCTTTGAACCAGCTGCTGCACTTGCCTGGCACCACAAAGCTAGATTTCCCTGTAAACCAATTTTTGATACCGCAGATATTTCCCTTGCAATACCAACGTCTTGTGGTTTTCCTCATTTTGTTTCTGGAAGCTGCTGAATTGTTGATAATTTGTATTGTACAAAAAGCATTCCGTTCTCCAAATTAAATGTATAATTTCATCTCAAGTTGGTAGCCGTTGTCTTGTGGCGACAATTCTGATTGAAAACTAGAAAATTACCACAATCTGGTGTGGCAAAAGAACAAAACTAGCATGAATAGTAGTATTTAGTACTTGCTTTTTCTTGCTGGATTGCTTTTATGAATCTATTTTGGTGTCTGATCTGAACAGACTAATCTCCAAACATAACGCGCCACACAGCCTATTTACTGCCGCATTCAACTTATGCCTTGTATATTAAAACAAAACAGTATTGTATTGCTTACTTCTGATTGCCTGGTTTGGTAACATCCCTTTTACTTAGGCATTGTAGTGACCCAAAATGCCATGATAAATCAGCAAGTGACAGCTGTAAAGAACATGCAGTATTGGACAGCTGCCTTTGGTAATTTTTCTACAACTGGGTTTTAGTAAAAAAAATGTGCAAGGCTTAATGTACTGGAGTGGAATGCAGCACATTGTTTGGCACGGAGCATAAAAATGAAACTGCTTTGTGGATCAGCTGCTAATGTGGCAAAGGGTTGCCCCATGATCAATGTTAAACAGAGTTGTGCTTTCACCTTGTAGCTTGGCAGCTGCGTGGATACAGAAGACAGTGAAGTCATTCGAGACATGGTTTGTCATGGATGTGTAGATAAATGCGCTGCTGTTACTTTATTTGCACTTGCAGTACTCAAGGATAATGACTTATGACCATTTTAATAAGGAGGCATTGAAATCTTGCAACATCTCAAAGGTCTCGCTGTTCTCATGTTTACAATTGTGGCTTCCAGGGTGATTACGGCCGTTTTTTAGACTTTGTAACCATAGGGATTACAAGAAGGTATCTCCTTAAGTAATTATGAGTCTAGATGAATCTGTATTTGCGCTGTGTAAAGTGACTCAAAGACAAGGTCTGCTTGCAGTTACTCAGTATGAAGAATTTATAGTTCATCTTATACAACATGGACTACATTTTACGACTTGGGTCAGTTGGAGAAACGGCGGGGGGCGGGGAACACACCCCCAAATGTTGTATACCTATTGTTTCAATTTACCAAGGGTTATGTGGAATTAAATTTGGAACCTTAAATGCCACGTCAAGCTCATATTGCGTTTGAATGAAATTTAGTTCATGCCGCAACACAAAGGAATGTTTGATCATGATAGCAGAAAATTCCGGTACTGAAATATGCTTTGCAAAAATGAAGCACTGAAAAAAAATGTACTCGTGAAAAGCTGAAGATAAGTAAACAGGATTTTTGCTAAGGAATGGTAAACCACTGCTTACATTTCAGTGTGATTCTACCTGGTAACCATAGCAGGTATGGACAGGTAGTCATGTGAAGTCACGGCTTAGAGCTGCATCTGATATTTTTCTGTATCACTTGTTGATAGGTTACCTGATGAGTGTTTATACTGACGTAGATATCGCAAATCATGGAACGGTTTTATGTCAATATTTGTGTCTCTTTTCATTTTGACCTTCTTACACATCAGACATGCTGAGATACAATAGTCCAACTGGTTTTTATTTTAAAGTAACATTTATTTTCAATACCCTCTTTTGAGAAATGTTTTTAGAAAGACAGTCTAATTTTAAAATTGAACAACTCAAGAGTACAGTCCATTTAAATGTGGAAAATCATAACTGGTGGTCAAAATGAGATGATCCAACACCATAGAATGAATTAAGGGTGATGGCATCTTTAATCACCACTGTCATAAAAAGTTTAATAACACAGCACCATTATTTGTTGCACTATATTTCCTCTTTAATGTCGTTTGGTGTGAGACCTAATGATGCATGTAAAAGAGGCGC